AGACAACCCACGGAATGGGTCAAGGTTGTAGAGGACGTATGGAAGGGGCTCGACATCGACGAAGATGAAACGCTGGAAACGGAGGGTCTACAGGGGTTCAAGGAGAAGATATCTGTTGCTTGTGACGAGAGAGAAGAACATTAATCTAAAAAAGAAACCAAGGATAGGGAGGGTCTAGAACTGTACGGAATGTTGAAGGGAGGAATAGGGTTCAAGGATTACCTACATGGACCAATGGATTCAGGAACAAAGCTTAAGGTCAAATTCAGGACCGGGGACATTAGCCTTCGAGAACGTCGACAAAGACATTGGACGGTAGACGACGAAAACGACGAAATCAAATGTGATTGCGGCTTTGAATGCGAAGACCGTGTTCATGTAGTCGCGGAATGTCCGAGGAACAAGAAGGAGAGGGAAGTGTACGTGATCGAGCTGGGAAAAATAGATGGCACGTACAGGGAGATGTTTGAGGCATGGAATGGAGAGGAAAGGACGGTAGCTGTGCTGGAGCATAGGAGGTGGGTTGAAAAGGCGGGAAGGGATATCGTTTGGATAGACAGACTAGGGAAGACATTTTTGAGCCACCTTTGGCAAAGTAGAAATGAACGATTGGCCATCGGTGATCGGTCCTGTGGGAACAATGCTCGGTCCCCTCGAGGACGCGTGGTCAATGGTCTAACCGCTAAGGTATGCAAAAAATAAGAGTACGCCCCGTCCTGGCAACGGATCGAGTTCACGATACAGCATACAATGACACCGCCCGGATGGACATACGAGGCGAGGGCAGACGGGCGTGAATCAGAGAGAAATCCAAGGGAGGCCAAGGCAAGCAGGTACATGGCATCATGGCATACTCAGTAGCCGGCATCGATGCAGCGCGGTGTAGCCAAACGAGGCGAAACTGAGGACAGTGAAAAGGGTGGCAAGAGTTGGTCAAGGAGAGCAGACGAAAAATCTTCCTAGCAACGCACACGTCTTCCTCGCACGTGTGTGTTTTTCAGTCTCAGGTGTTCGCATACGACCGCGCGTCCTTACACGCAGCCCGTTCTGCCCCTCTGCCCCTCTTCTCCGCTTCGCGCCCAGAAGCAACGTATGATTTTCTTCGCATACCGTATCCCCACGCCCGTGTTTCGCTACACGTTGCCACTCCGATGTCCGCTCCAACCCTACCCACAACATAGATGAGGTAGCGACGTTCTATGCATCGACTCATGCCCATCCTGTCCCATCCCATCCGTTCCACATGGCAGGCAACACAACGAGAGCCCGGCTGAGTCGAAAAAAAAATGGCTAACAAGGAAACACGCCTTGGGAGCAAATTGAGTATTGACAATGGGCATGTAGCCTCGGAACATTTTCAAGCATTGCAACCAACACTCGCCATGTCCTCTCTTGTCCTTGCTCTTTTGTTCTGTTCTCACCTCATCCTCGCTGTCAGTCTCGTCGTCGTACGCCTGCATGACCTGCTCGAACAGCGTCGGCTCGTTGTCCAGCTCAAGGTCGTCCGGGTGGGGCTCGTACTGCGGGAGGTTGGCGGCGCTAACCACCTCGAACTGCACGGCCTGCTTCTGGTCCAGGCCGACGTAGCTGTCGCTCTTCACGAACACGTCCAGCTTCACGGTGCCCGGCTTGTTCGGCGCCATCATCTTTACCTGTCATTTTTTATTGCGGACGGGGAATTGAACGGGTCGCACTATAGCATCGGTGGCACCGTCCACCCAGAATCAGGCTTCGACTGTACTAGCAAAATGCATTGGGCAACAAGCACTTGTTGCTGGCCACCACTGGTATCATGCGCGTCACCGGCCGACAACCGACCTGATGTCACACACACGGCCACACAATGCCCCTTCCTAATACAGCAGTACTGCAACGCACAGCAGTTACTCCGACACGCACCTCCTTGGATACAACGCGGCCGTTGTCTGTGATGCGCTCGAAGCTGAAGATAGTCTTGCGGTTGATGTCCCCGACCAAAACCCACCACCCCTCGTCGGCGAAGACAGGGTACTTAGGGGCGTACACCGGCTGCACCTTGCTTCCGTCTTCCACGTTGTTGCGGGTGAGAGTCACCTTCATGTTTCGTTTCGTTTCCAAGCAAGAAGGAGGGAGGGGCGCGGAGGGTGTGCACGCGACAGAGGTTGGGTTTGCACGCAACAGAGGAAGAGATCGACAGATCCAGAGACAGAGAGACAGAGGGAGGCAGGGAGGGTGTTTCAATGGTAGGGAAGGAAAGGGAAGGAAGTCACCATGATACCCATCTCGTGACCTTCAGCTGGCCGAAAGCGCGTGTCGCAGAAGGCTTCCTGCTCTTGGCAGCGATAAAAAACGACATACTTTTGGTATTCATGATACACCCCCCACCGCCGTCGCCTGTGTCCCCGTCACTACGCCCTCTCTCGCGACTCCGATCAGGTCAAAAACGTCCATGCAAATATCGTTCATGGTTCCTCTTCACCACCTTACGTACAAGCTCAGGCTAACGATAGGGCAGTACAACATCTGAGTTCCACAGACTATCTGGCACCCGTTGAACCTCTCCCTATAGGGGTTCGAGTGCGGTACATATTGCTCAAGCTTTAGCACTTGGGCTCTCACACCTTGATGGTAACCAAGTCGTTCTCCGCAATCTCCGACTCGTCCTCGACAAAGATGTCGACCTTCACGGTCACGTCCGGGATGATGGAACACACGCGGTGCACCTCCTCCTGCTGCTCCGGCGTAAGCTGGTCCAAACCCTAAATACCCCACAACACAGCACGACACCAGAGTGGCAGCGGCACCGTAGGTGGGATGAGTAGAGCCTTGGGGGGTAAGGCGGCCATAGATGCCGCGAAGGTGGCGGGTGGTCCTACTAGGCCCATTCTGGTCCTTTCCTTCGGCAAGCATCTGCTTCTAAAGTCAAATATGCTCGTTGGTTCTGCTACTTGTTGGCCGTCATGACCTCAACTATGCTGTTTATTTTGGGCAAATTTCGCTCTTCTATGCTGCTTTCGGGTGGTCATACTCTCACGTCTCACGTCTGCTTCTTTTCCCGTCAACGGCCAGGTGTGCTCTAAAATGCCATTCTTGGGGTGATTATGCCCTCATTTATGCTCTTTTGGCCAAATGCGCTTTTTCCTCCTTTGCTTTCTCGATGTCTGCTCGTTACCTTATCGACCCCCTACTTGATCCCCCAGTGCATTGACGTGTCTCAAAGCCCCAAGTCATGCCCAATTATCCTCCTGTTGAGCGACCTCCTGCACATATTGGAGCCTACACGATAGTAAAGTAGCATTTTGGCATATCTGCTCTTTTCCATGCTTGTTCTGCTCCAGTAACAGGTATTTGTGCTCGAGTAATCTTTTTGTTCTGCTCGAGCAGATGTTTGAATTGGTTGTGCTTATGCCTATGCTGCTTATGGCCAACTCTGCCCTTTCTTCTGAAAGCAGGATGGGCCTAGGCCTAAATGGCGGGACAGCAGTACGGCCAGTAGTGGTGTTCTCCTGTACTATTGGTGCTTCAGTAGACTGGTACTTCAGTAGTACTAATAGTACAGCATGCCCAAGCAGATCTGTCGATCGGCGAGGGCCCCAGGATACAAACAATACCACCAACCCTTTGGCGAGCGCAGCCGTCGCGGGATGCAAGAAAAACGCAAAGGGCGACTCCAAGTAGTTGGAGGAGGGGTTGTGCCGAATGCGTATACTGAAGCGCTGGCAAAATCTTGCGCAGAGGCGTGTTTGTTGCTTGCTGTCGTCCGTCCTATGACGATAACGTATGACCTACCATGATGACCTATTTCTATGTGGATATGTCGAAGTCTTGTTTGTGTGTTGCTACCTTGCGCTCCTCTCGCGGCAGCTTGATGTACTGCGCGATCCCCTTGACGGCAGGCTTGCCAGGCACGCTGGTAGTGCAGATGGTCCTCGCCTCCGCTTCCCCGATGTGCGGTAGCTGCAAGCGGCACACGGCAAATCCGGAACAGAATCAAGAACAAGGAAAACACACGAAGGACAAGGCGCAACACAACCGGCATGATGAGCACGATCCATGGCGAAACGTTTAGGCCAGTTTTGACCCGTGACACGAGAAAACTGTACAATAGCACAACTCTTTTTGTCGTCGGTAGGACATTTACGTTTTGCCGGCAACTCTCAGCTTCATGCCGGATGATAACCTCACGCCCGCGGACGGCAACAAACCCTTCCGAAAAGCCACACATCACCAGTCGAGCATGCGCATGGGCGCGATCACCAGTAGCTTACATTGCGTGAAGAGATTGGCGCCAAGGAGACGCAAGCAAGCATCAACCAGCACCAAGAACGGTTATCGCCAAGGGTTGCTTGCCCATAGGCGAGAGGATTCTACAACTCGCCCAGCACTGTTCACCTCTGCACCTATCCGCCTACTCCTTCATGCATACAACTCTGTACCTGGAGCAATGTGTTGTCAGAGAGCCAGAGGCCTTGGTGGATGTACTGGCTGAAGTTGATCACGTAGATCGTAGTGTTCAACCATCGGCGGCTGCAAGCTAGCTCGATCATAGCCTCGATCAGGTCAGGAGTCTTGATCAGCATAGTGTCCAGGTTCTGAGAAGACGAACAAACGAGGAACAGGTACCAAAAACTTCAATCATCATGAAAAAAAAGACGTATTATTTTGTGTCTAGTGGATGTGTCATTCCCATTCCCTCGTCGTATAGGGGGGAACACCTGATGCACCTCCTCCTGGCTACGTGCAGCTTAGCGAGAGCCTTACGATGATCTGCAGCATCCCACCCTCTTTGTTTTACGGATGGAGACCCCGTGTAGGATTACCAGCAGAATCTTGATCGCATCAAATACGCGGCAAAAATGTGGTTCTGCCGACCGATGCCCTCTCACTATCCAATCTCAACACACAGCACGTGGACGCTGCTGTCAAGTACAACGCTGAAGAGTGCCAAATGCGGGGCAGCTCAGAAGGTACCAGCTACATCTTACTTTATGCCCACATTGCTGTCACACGGTGATAGTTTCGACGCCTCAACTCCAAACAAGTACATCACTGGGATCTACCGTCTGTACCAAGTGCTGAACGCTCTATTCAATATGCATTCAATTTATCTTCACCTTCTTGAGTTCAGGGCTCATCGGCTTCTGCGCGAGGTGCGCGAACACTTGCACGGCTCCCTTTTTGATGACGGGATGGTCGTACTTGGGCTTGGGCATCAAGGTGCTCTCCTGCTCGTGCGGGTGATCGTTGCAGAGTGTCGAGTGTCGAGGTCAACACAAGGGAGGACGGGGCAGAGCGCCCCACTTGAGATGGTTGCTCTTCGTGGATTTACGTACAATGGTAATACATAGTAGTTACAAAACTTCAAAGCAACAATCAAAGATAAAACAACCAAGTCTATCGATAAGGTATGTGTACAATCGGGACCTATCTATGAGAGGCAAAAAAACAAACAACAGGGCAAAGAGCGCTCGATCCGCTTGACATGGCAAACAAAAAAACCGAACGTGATGGTGGTCGTGAGAAAGAGACGAGGCACTAACTACAGCGGAACGTTACGGAAACCAGAGGTGCACGCACACAACAAAATGAAAACAATGGTTGGCAAGGCTAGCGAGCGGTATGCATACGGTACAAGATGGTTGCCGAGGGAAGAGTCATGGCCATCACACCAAGCCATGCCATGTGATGCCACGTCCAACGAGATACGAGTTGGTTTCGCGCCTCAACCCCTAACCCCACGAGGCCAACCTTCTAAGAATTCCTCCTCGAAATGAAACACAACACCACATCGCAACAGCCAGCAAGGGACAAAGCGGAAACCCGTCCGGTCAGTAGCGACCATTGCTGCAGCTGCAGCTGCCGCATCGAGTTCCCACAAACACACGCCCCACGGGTTCCGGCGTGTCAAGTAACTTCGGACGAGAAGCGCTTACCCTGTAGAGCTGTCGGTACAGCTTAGCCACTTCCTTCGTCTCCATAGGGCGGTCCTTGTCCGGGGTGTTGAGAGCGCGGAACTCAGCCGAACCAGCCAACACCTACAAATAGACAGCAGGCACGACCCACACGCATCAAAGCTTAAGACAAAGGGTCAAAAGTTTGAGATCGAAAGAACCAACGCGTGGGATTGTCCGATAACTGGACGATCTTCTTCCTGCAGACAGGTATGTAAATGTACCGAAAAGTAGAAATACGCGGCAACGTCAACGTCAAGCCAGCATCGTGACGACAGGGATACACCCAAAACCTCCAGGCAGGTTCGGCCAAAAACGAAGCAGTCGAGTGCGCTACACCGGCAGATGGGCGCCACCATCACGTGGCAAGCTAAAAAAAGCGAGGCAGTCTCCAATGCTGCTTGCACTGCATAAATGCCACGGGCTAGAGGCGACTAGCTTCTAAGCTAACCCGACACAGTCGGCCGGTCATTCCCTCCTGTATCCGCGGAAAGCCCATCTTTCGCCGCCCATCCCAACTGGGTCGGGTTCCTCCTGGCACACCATGTCGGCGGCAACAGGTGAAACACAAGCACACAACACATGGTGGTATTAATGGGTCGTCGGACGGGTGGAATCAGATGCGCGCATGTACCTACCTCCGGCATGTTCTTCATCTCGGACGAGTCGCTGAGCATGTGGTTGTACCAGGCGTAGCTGTCATACATGACGTTCTTCTCGCCGTACTTCTTGGACCGCGCGTACCACATGGCCACGATGGCTGACGGTCGATTGTGCAAGCAAACAAAGGGGAGATGAATGGGTGCACATCAAAATGACTGAGGCAGGGGCAGTGAAAGGGTACTTCAAGAGGAAAGGGTCAAACAGGGAGCCGCCCGGGGGGGTGTTTCGCGTTATTGCCTTGCTGTGGACGAGTCTTGCATGCATGTGTCTAGCGCAAGGCACCACGATGGTAGACACCCAAAGGTACATCACGATTGACCAAGACTAAGCACGGTTAGTCCATACAAGTGGTCCCACACAAAAACGTAGTATGTACTTGCGGAAACCTTCAACGCCAATCTGCACGCAAGCGCAAGTACAACCTTGGGATAATAAATGACACCCAAGGTGTTGTGCGCTAATTTCATCATGAATCCGTTCATGTCCAACATGGGCGCCAGACGGCACCTGTGGGCAATCGCAAAATGGCATAATGAACGCAACAGCCGCGGCTACAGAGCAGGAAGGCCACACAAGCTGGTTGTCATTTCTCCGCTGCTTGCCTCAATTCGTTCATTTACCGCGAGATTGTAATATTGACTTCCGATACATGCCTTCGAACAGCGTACTGCATCATCTCCAACCGGCGGTCTCTTTGCAATGTTACTGCTGTGTGTGTTTTCTAAAATCACTCAGCCTTCCCTTTTTCTCGCCGACCGTCGACGTGAATTTCGCGTGCCCTCGAAATAACCTTCCCGCACCATCGGGCATACAGTTTTTATGAAAGAACAATAACAGTTGGTATGACTTCGCCGAGATCGAAGTAATGTCTCATCATGTCTCAAAACCAGAAGGTTGCAAGGACTAGTTAAATGAACCGCGGAGGTGGCGGAGTTTTGCACATGTTTGTTGTTTGTTTTCCTCCCATCATTGGACTTTGTCGTCTGCCCCTCTGGCCCCTATCTCCACTTCTACTAGCTAGACGACCCAACCGGGGTCACATACGAGGGGGGGGTTGGACCCCCTCCTGCGGTTCATGCCTGAGGTATTTTTATCGCGAGAAGGGTACAGCAATCCCTACCCTCGCGACTTGCGAAGTCGATTACGGTTTACTAACAAACGAGCTTTGCAGCGCGTCGCTTTCATCCTAGAGCAGGATTTATTTAGTGAGAAAAAAACTCTCTCTGCCGGGACTCGAACCCATGACCTGGCCCTTAGCAGGCTACGAGGCTACCCACTATGGGGCGACCGGTATTGCCGTTGTACATGTATTCGTGGCTGGTTTTTTGCTCAACAGCAGCGCTACTGTACCACAACGTGGCTCGGCACACCGGCCCGAGTGACCCACCCGCATACACCTTTACACTCTCTGCACGTCGGTTATGCTAGCTTGAGTTCCCTCGTTGTTTGGTCAGGTTCTCATGGTGCTTTTCACGGTGCCTTGCTCGCTCACATGGAATGATCACCACCATGGCGATGAGGTAGATGATGAGGATGGTGTTGTGGTGCTCCTTCTCCAGCAAGAAGGTCGGTAGAGCGATTGACACCTCCATGGGCTGCTTGCCGTCGGGATTGCCGAACTTTCGCCAGTTGTCCATTGCCTGTCGAACCAAATTTCAAGCGTACATCCCATGCACTGTTTATATTCTCTTGATAACAGATCGGCAGCCAGTCACAACGTCAGAAACGACGGCGGGCGCCAAATGGTCGGGGTGCCGTCGGTCTGTAAGGAGTGCTATAACTGTAATAGTTTCGGAATCACGAAATCACAGCAGGGAATGGGCACCCTTGTGGCTGGCAATCCTGAGCAAGCATCATCCAACAAAAACTCACGATCCATCAAGCGATGAATTCATGCTTGGCTGCCGCCGTTTGTACACAAATCACATGAAAGCAGCGAGACTTGACGTCTTCGAAGGAAAGGGTGTCTGTGAACCGCATCAAGGGTCAACATCCACTTGACGCGATGTATAGAGGGCGAGAGAGATGCCCGCCGGCACCTTCGCGGCTCCGCGGCCGAACAGAACAATAGCTGTAACAGCCAACAGAAGCAGCAGGAGGAGTCTCTCTTGACCCGCCGTCCTTATTCTGCCTCACCGTCTGGTCGGTGAGTGCCTCGTAAGCCTTGGCGATCTTCATGAACATGTCCTCGGCCACCTTGTTGTCAGGGTTCTGTCGCCGAGAGAAGCACGTGCGACATCATCGAAACGATACAAAAAGTAATAAGAGAGTCACCGTCAGATCGATCGCCGTCAGACGTGAGCTCGGCAGAGCTTACTGTCAGCCCAGCGCGTGCACTTCCCATTTCGACATACATATCCTCTGGAAAAAAACATGTATGGTCCTCGTGTGCTTTTCACCATAGCAGCTGGCTGAAATGGCACAGACGTGTGGCTTCGCCGCACGCACAGCCAACATCATCCTCCCTGGTACCCAAGAACTACCGTTGAAACGCCCACAGAAGGCACGCCAAATTTGGCGTGTCGTCCTGATTATGCTGGCGCACCACTTGTAGCCGTCAAGCGGCAACAGAGTAGCCAGCCACTTTTGACGCACCGATCTCTCAAGCAACCACAAAACAAGCGCGACGCGTGCACACGAATGGAATTGCCGAGTCTTCGCGAGCGATGGAGTGGCCGGCGTGATGTGACGGACAAGCACCAACCTTGTCCGGGTGATAGATGAGCGACAGCGCCCTGTACTGCTTCTTGATCTCGCGCGCCTCCGTGGACGGCGTAACCCCCAAAATAGCGAAAGGATCGAATCCCTTGATCTCCGCGTCATCAGTCATGGAATTCAGCAGGTAGAAGAAGCAAGCCCACCCAGGGATCAGGGTCAATACCTGATCGGTTCCCGATACATGTATACATATCCGGTAACCACACGGAACGAATGGGCGTGAAGTGTGATTTGGGGAGTGCGAAGCGCAGCAGCTTACGGTGTTCCATGGGGCACATGTGATATTCGGTGACCGCTAATTATTGGCCGGTGCGAGGTGAAGGAACGTATCGTGCTACAGTACTACTGCACGGCCCGGTGAGCGGTGAGATTTGCGATCACGAGAGAACATGGTACTCTTATGAAACCATGATCACTGACTTCAGCATGACGTACAGACACGCGCAGGTCACAAAGATGGTGGTCGATAGCATATGACCACTTCGCCTCGGGTACCCTCCCACGAACGACTCCGTCGTTTATTCCATCCTGACATGAAACTGCTAAAAAAAATAACCCTGGCTCTGGCTCTGTCCTCATTTGTCATATGCCTTTTGGACCGCAACGCCGAGAGCCCAATAGAGTGGACGACAAGGCGGCATTCTTCTTCTCGTTTTGCTGTACCTTGGTGACGAAAGACCATCGCCACAGCACCGACAGCCCCGCTTTGTCCTTCTTCATGCGTGTGCACTTGGTCTTCTCCGCGCTGGTGCGGGCCTCGACAGCTCCCCGCGCCGGGATGATCGCGCGCAAGATCTGGCCAAACACCCCCGGTACACAGGGAAGCCAGATGTCAAAGGGTGACCAATTACATTCATTCGTCGCAAACGTGCAATCCTCTTGGTTGGCCTAAATTAAGACTGAGGTAACAAACAGCGGGATCATGGTATCCCTAGCAAGGGCACACCTTGCACCTTGAGACTACTACTGCCTCTGTCTCCAGGAAGCAACCGGCATCAATCCAACGGCGTTTTACACAACCCACGCTGTAATGATCACTTTTGTAGGGACTATCTCCAAGACGTGGACCAAAAATTACAAAATTACAAATGTACTTCTACGAAATAGCAAACAAAAATGCCAACGAAGCTTTCTCCCTCTGAAGCACACCTGCTTCAGCGACACGAGTGTCACCGGGACCAGGTAGATGCTAATGAGGCTCAGGGTGAAGTAGTAGAACGCGCTGTTGTCATACTCTAACATGGTTGCCCTCGCCGAGCGGGCCGCCTCCCCAAAGTCTCTTCACGTAGGAGCTGCAGCTCGATCCAGGACTCCTAGAGTAGATCGAAATATCCGCGCGCAAAGGTCGGAGTATGTAGCAGCGCATCGACAAGTGGCGTACAAGCGAAGCATGGCGGTAAGGAGCGGGGTGGTGTGTGTGGTTAAACACAGGAAACAGCCAAGCGCGGCGTGATGTGCACGGAGGAAAGCCAGCAGCCGTGGCTCTGGTTTATTGGGGGGTCTTGGCACACACACATATCTACATCGAGACGGCAGCAACATCAGTAGCACGGTAGTCAGTGTATTCTTATTCAATGCTAAGGTGCGCCATTTCTCGTGGTGATGCAGAAAGTACATGGGAGAGCAGTATGTCTTCGCTGGCAGAGAGATGGGCGAGGGCAGCACATGGGTGCACCTGTTCGCGTCGCGTTGCTACCGGCATGCACAGGCCTGCACACACCGTCCTGCTCTTCTCGATTGCAACAGCAACAAACGCTGATCGCATTAACACCGCTCATGCTCGGCCAACAGCAACGTACCCATACCAACTGCAGTGCAAATCGGTGGGCAACACCAGACGACAACTTCGTCCCTCGGCCCTAGTGAAGTCTCAAACCACCAACTGCGTGAGTAGTGCACCTCATCGCCCCGCGTTGCGTCAAATCGCTGACGGCCTCACACATGCTCTCTCACCTCGGGCTCCAGAACGTGCTGCCGACTGGCCTCTACAGGGGGGCTATACTACAGGCGCGTTCCTCTCCCACGCTCACGTGGTATTCTCGGCTCTCCAGCGCTCGGGAGACGACCCCTAGCCCGACTCGCTAGCTCTCCGGATCGAGCTGTCACGACACGCGTCCCAATAATCAATAATCTCTGGGACCGGGTGGGGGGCACGCAGAAGATCATGATGGCATACATGTAGGGCGGGGGTACCCTACTTGACTCCTTGATAATGGTGGTTCACCACGCCTATGGATCTCGTTTAGCTACTTAGCCGCGTAAGTTCTGCCCTGGGTGTTCAGCCCTCTAAGACAGTGTTTTGGTGTGTTGGATTGATCGGCATTTTACAACAACACTGACTGAAGGAAGGGTAAATATTTTGTATGACCACCGCCGTTGCATAGAGTTGGTTACCCACCGTATTTGACACAAGATAACACAGCCCCTAGACCAATTTTCTGCAGCTCGATTACGCCACGACGACGAGGATGTACTATTGAAACAATACATTTTCGGAAAGCTCTTGACGAGATAGCTTCAACGCCACCATTTTCGGCGCTGTGACTCTTTATGCTGTTGAGAAAGTTGGAAATCGGTCGCGGGGGTGTGCTATCTTGTGTCATGTGCGGTAGTGTCTCTCTTGAAAAATCTAATTTGATAGGCAGGGAAAAAACGACAAAAAACATCTGACAAGGCATTGGCGTGTACCCGTATCAAGGGTACCGCACGTTTGGTGCCCACCACGTAAAGAAGTACTAATACTTGTTTCCCCCCCGGATCGCGTCTCAACGAAATCCAATATTTACTCTCTAGTGTGACCCCCCCTCCCAGGGAAACAACAAAAAAAACACATTCCGTCCGCGGAGAAACTAAAACAAAGATTCCCCGTTTCCGATCGATCTCTCCAGGAGGTTCAATTTCACAAACTCAAACAGAGATCTCCTCTGAGGGGGGAGCTGAAAGAAAAAAGAACTGAAGTTAATATTTCTTGTCGTTCTTGGACGCAGATGCGGAGAAGAGCAGCCAGCTGCTATGTCATCTCCAAAATCTTCGCCTGGAACGAGTTTCATGCACTCCAGTCGCCTACAAACACTACAGTTGTCAAGCCCATCTGGGACGTCTCTAGATGATGCATTGCGGTGACCACAAATACTCTTTCTCTTCGAAAAGACTTGAACACATCTGTCTCCAGGAGGACCAACTGTCTCGGGTGCAGCACAGCCTAGACCTTCTTCGTGTTGTCCAAGAAAAATGATGGGAATGGTTGTTGTTGTTGTATTGTCTTCCACATCAAAAATCTCTGCTCACGTGCCTTCCAACAATCGCGCTGGCCCAACTGACACTCACCGATATCGGAGGGAAAATTCATGCCCACAACGAGGCTCGTTCATTGTTGAAAACAGCACCATAATCACCAATACTCTTTTCGCTGAATCAAACAAAAACACAAAACATAAAAAGTACTACACAGCAGTATAGGTGGCCGAGCGCAGTCCTTTTCCTCCGCTCTTTTTATCAGTTTACGGGCATTGAACTGCGATCCACCAACAACACTAGTACCCTAGAAGACGTTACATCGAAAAGTACTGCGCGGGATTTCCTTCAAACCCAGCCGCAGCAACTTTATTCGTGAATTCCATGCTCTCCTCCCGTGCATTCTTAGCAGCTAATTCTTACGCGGCCTTCTTCGAGCTTGTGCTGGATGTGGGTTCCTTTCCCAGGCCGTACACTAGCGCCGCCATGACCCCTGTTCCCAACAACAACGCTACCCAGGGGCCATACAAGCCGATCCCCACTGGTATGCTTCCCAGAATGATGGACAGAGCGGCCACAATGAACGTGTAGGGGCTGGTCGTGCGGACGTGCTCTCCCAGTCCACAACCTGGCGAGGAGGGGAGGGAAGTTGAACTTCAACGTTACCGTATGTTGTTACTTGCGTTTTCGCCATTTGACCTCAATCTTTTCAACCTTTCAGGACGGAGCACAGCGGGTACTGCCTTAAAATTCTGAGCCATTTCAAACGTACGATCGACGCACACATCCACCCCCACCCCATTGGTAAAGGCTTTGTCGTCTGGTGTACCGGCGCGTGCGCAAGAGCAAACTTCATTCCGCGGATCATTAGCTACGGATCATTAGCTACGGATCATAAGTACATATTCAGCAAGCACGTCTGGTTGTGGTAATGTGGCCACTGGCTACCCCACGGACATGCTTCTCTGAGCTCTACAGCACATGCGTAACCTCCGCTAGTTAAATTGTTTCTGAATAACACGGTGGCATGATTAACATGGAGGAGGGCCGTGACCGGTAGATACACGTTGGTGGCGTCTGCTTGTAGCGACCATAGATTCGATTCGATTCGCCGCAAAGCGCCAAAAGTATTTCATACAAATGCAACAGGACATAATATGCATTTGGAAATGAAATGCAGAGCAGTGCACCCAAGGCAACCGCTGTTTCTGCGCATAATCGCTAACCATGGCAGGGCTCCTCCTCAACACAAATATTTAACTACCGTACCAATGGTTCGGGCGACGGGAAGGATACTCAACTCCTGGGGCAGTTCAACTCGGACATATCCAACCATTATTCAAGCTCACCGGTTGCAAGAGAGGTGAGAATGGTGGTGTCCGATATGGGCGAGCACACGTTGCCGAATATGGACGCGCCGAGGATGCAGGCGAAGCAGTGGTGGAGAAACTCGATGTCACCGTTCCCCAATCGCCACGCCAAGGGACCCACAAGGGGGAACACGATGCCCATGGTCCCGAACGTGCTCCCACACGCGTACGAGATCACGTAGCACAGAGCCTGGCACAAAGGAGGTGGTCAACGGGAATATGTTACGCGGCGGCGCCGACGGGATAGAAAAACACGTGACTGGAGGGGCAAGATCAACGCTCGGACGCATTCCACGAGAAGCCTGGGCGTTCTCAACGCCTGTCGAAACAATGAAGCCAACGCTATCTTACTTCCTGTGGTAAAACCGCACTGCTCCATGGACTGGATTCGTAGCGCCGTATTTCCAAGCCCAGGCAACGAAAAAAATCATTTTGACGCCATCACTTGCCGAACACATGACGCTCTCGGGGGCTAGTGAAGGCCCACTCACCGAGATGAGTGCCGGGAGCATGTAGGGAGGGATGCCTGTTTCCAAGGCGCCAGAGAGGTACTCAGCAGTCTGCACGTCCTTCACCACTTGTCCCAAGGCCCACGCTAGCACCAACACGAACTGCGGTTCTAATACCTCCTGCCAATCAAAAGCGAGGGTTGGGAGCGTGTAAGGGTTAGGGGTACAGTAGGGACAGAACCGCCAGCCAAGATCGGGGAACGTGTTTACCCTGATGTGTAGATGTAGATATCTCCAATGCTCAGGTTGTTTGGCAGAGAAAATATAGAAAAGCGGCGACATGGGAGTAACCGATACGTGAGTGAGTGCACTCTTCACACGAGACTCCCATCTCGACAAAATCAACAAGATCAACCGCGCGCGACAAAGTGTGTGCACCTGCAGGACGCGAGTCTAAGAAAAACACGAGACGAAATCGAGAGGAGCGGACCATGTGTTCCCCGCCACTGGTTGGTGCTTATCAGAGGTGTTTCATGTAACCACGGCTGGCGTTAGGTACACACTATTTAACACCTTCATGCCCTCCATCCAGGTCTCCATGGCTTCTGGAAGAGTGAGGATGCCTTGGCCACACACCAACACCAAGGAAGTCAGCCAGCCGGCCGCGCTCGCCCAGATGAGTACCGACACGCTGTCGCAGCTGCTCAGAATGTTTACCATCGTTTTGGGGACCTGCACAGGCCACGCGAGCAGAGAGCAGTTAAGACCCCCTCGCATCACGATCAAGAACAAAAGGGAGGCGAGAGACCTACAGTACTGTTCATCTGCCTCAACACCGATCAACGATACGCCAAGAAGCGAGCGGAACTCTAGGGTAGGGTCGAGAATGAGGCGACATACATAACAGGATATCGCCGCCATTCTCCGAGAGTATATGTTAGTATCAATAAGGACATGATGAAGATCTCAAAACATGCCGAGTATCCCATCGACCCGGCCAGTAGTCACTGCTCTACAGATGCTGTCCAGCAAAGAGAAATGTTCCACGAATCTCTTCCCCGACACAATACCTTCACAAGTTGCTGCCTGTTGCACGACCCAAACTACCCGGTACACCTTACCATACCACGCTGGACGCTGATGCCGGCCCGCCTCACCTCGTTCCCAGCAGCTTCGATCTTCGAGATGCCATCCAGGATCATGCCCAAGAAGGTCACGCCAATCACAGCCGCAAAAGGAACCAGAGCGTTTCTAGACCGCAGCGGGGTCCCCGCCTTCGGGGTTATACCCCCGTCCCCCCCGCCTCCGTCAGCAGCATCACCCTCGAGCTGGGAACCCGATGCTGGGGACTCCGCATTTGGATCGCCGCCGACAGCGCTACCACCTCTGTCTTCGGAACTGGCCATCGGCCCGAAATCCTTGCCGCTGACGAGCACGATGATGATGAGCAAGAGGTAGAAGAGGGGGAAGAAGCGGAAGGGCAGGGAGCGGAGCACGACGAGAAAGCCGTCCAGCGGTGGCGAAACCCCGAGCGAGTCCAATACCGCGGCGGTGTACCCGATCTGGAGCCCCACCCAAGACGAGATGGGAGACAGTGAAGCCAGCGCGACGCCCACACTGTGCACCAGCCACGCGAACTTTTCAGGACTGACCTGATGAAAGAGAAAAAAAGGGCGGAGGAACGAGCGCAACGCGGACCCTGAGCGAGAACCAACGAGATTCTTGTTTCCTGGAACATATAAAATATCGCGCGCCGAACCATCCGCCTAAGACGCTCGCCAGGGTGTTCGCCGCATCTTCAACGGCGGCGACCTATGTATCCATTTCAGTAACGATTACCTCGACAACACAGATCCAAGCCACACGAGAAAGCAATCAACAAGGCAACAAGACAGCAAGAGCTGCCCTTGCGTGTTCCTTACCCCAACAGTTCTCACGACATCCCGAAGGCTGTTCCCCACGATAAGAATGCTGGAGTAGTCGTCGAAGAAAATTAGGCAGCTCAAGGCCACTGTGCAGACTTGCCCCCGTGTCCTCGTGCCTGCAACGAAAAAAATGGCGCATGTGGGTGCAATGGCAAAGAGGGAGAGAGAGGAGATCGAGACCTCAGTGACATGAAACCCGTGCATTACATTGCATCGACGGTAGTGGCACAAGGAAAGCAGCACATCCACGCCTTCCAAAGCACCTTCACTGGTGCACCATATTAACGAAATATGCACCCCGCACCCCGCGCACCTATGTTAAGAACTACAAAAGCATGCCTACCACAGCAGCGCTGCCAATAGGACAAGGTACAAACACCTTCCTCTCCCCGCCTCCTCTCACCCATGAACCCCTTGAGCGCGTTCGCGAGGCCCAGCGCACCGCCGCTCCTCTGCACCAATCCGATCGTGCCCCCGAGCAGGAACGTAAACAGCAGCACTTCCGCGTTACCCTCCCCGACAAAGGCGCCTACGAAGTATGTGTCGAAAGTGCGAAGGAACGCCCCCAGGGGGTTGAAGCCGGACACCAGCAGGGCTCCCGCCCAGATGCCCACGAGCAGCGCAACCAGCACCTATCGGAGAGTAAAATCGCCATGTGCAACAAAAGTATGCGCTTGAACATGCAAGCTTTGAGCGTGTTGTTTATGGTGCCGGTCAAACGCGTGAGCTTGTGGTTCGCTCCGACCGAAAATCGTGCGAGGAACGCGTCCCTTTCGCGCACAAGGAAGCCCACCACTCGGCCCGTACAGAGACACGTATTGTACAACAACAAAGCCTCGGTTACAGTTACAAAACAAAAATAGCAGGAGTACGACGGACGTTGCTACACAACCCCCCGACAACGAGTAGTCTACAACAGAGTAAATACGAATAATCTCTCTCACCTGTCGGTACAAGATAGAGATGGCCAGAGTAACCAGAGGAGGCAACAACGACACCAACCCAGGCACGCACGTGACTCGCACATCCTGTGTTTCTCCACCAACGCGCACACGTATGGTGCTTGTTCCGATCGACCTGCGTGGTTCGGGTTGTTTGTTGCTCATGAGCGTTGTAGCGTTCCTGGTGGACTGGAGAACAACTTCACTCATTACACCACTCCAACTAGATCGTTCTCTATTGAGCAGGTGGGGCATTAATGTAAACCAAAAAATAAAAGCTCCCGTGTGGCCTTCCTCCCGCGGAACCTCGCCTGATGCATCAAAACACCGTATACAGCGATCGGTCGGTGGACTGGCGCCAGAATAGATGGGACGAACACAAATACAAACACACCGCAGTGCGTTTGCACGTTCTCACCGCTTATTTGGCCTTTTACTGTCTGTATCTGTTGTAGAACACACAATATCGTCCACTCGGGTACGAGATCCGATATGGGGGATATGTGGTTGTGGGGGGTATGCTGTTGGTGGTCCAAGTGCGGAGCCCCTCGAGAGAGAGAGAGAGAGAGAGAGAGAGAGAGAGAGAGAGAGAGCACGCTCATGTGTTCAGTGTCGTTGGCTATCTTGGTTTTGTGTTGTTTTTTTCTCCCATCATTGGACTCTGTCGTCTGCCCCTCTGGCCCCTATCCTCCACTTGTACCAGCTAGACGACCCAACCAGGGTCACATAGGAGGGGGTGGTTGGACCCCTTCCTGCGGTCCCTGCTTGAGATATTTTTATCGTGAGAAGGGTACAGCAATCCCTTCCCTCGCGACTTATGAAGTCGATCAAGTTTACAAACGACGAGCTTTGCAGCGCGTCGCTTCCAACGGAGACCATGATTTAATTAGCGAGAAAAAACTCACTCATGTATGTACTGGAAGGACTACGCTGTGTGATGATCAAGCAACATGGTTTCTGTCATTAGCGTTCGGTCCTGGGAGAACATAGTCCCCAACTTGACCTGTAACCCCTTCGGGAAGGCGAAGAGGCGCACCCAACAGAAGTAGTTCATCGCAATTTGGGATGAAACTGATGTTGAATGATATTGGCCTATGCATACCGTAGTCAAGCACATGGCGGTGACATCCTCGCATCTCAAAATCTCAAACATGTGGGTATGTGTGTGTGCTGCACAGTTTTGTTCCTGTCGTTCTGATCATCTGCGTGCCGCGTGCCCAGCAGCATTGATGACGAACGTGCTATTTTACAGCAACACAGTAGTGATAGTGTTGCACAGCTGGTGATACAGCTGATGAGCGGTCGCCGAGGACAGGTTTCGAAATGTGTTGATATTGACAAGCTGTGTAGGTTGCTTAAGATATCACACCCCCGGGACCAATCTAAGTCTCGATTCTGCAGCTTGATGGTTCCGGAATGGTGGCGTCGGAACAGTCTCATCGAGAGCTTGCCTAAAAAGCGCCGTTTGACTCGTGGGGTCCCGTTCGTCGTGGAATGTACTCGAGCTTTACAAACGGTCCAGGGGGTGGGGTATCTTACGCAACCCGTAGATCTACCGAACAGCTTGTGCGCTCAGTTAACATTCGAGACGACGGATCCGTTTTACTCCATTTCAGCGGTCAACGCGACGTCGACCGCGCCCATGCAGTAGACGGGCTTGGTGGGGCGTAGAAGGCAGGGTGGACCACAAACGATACCTAACATCACGCGCGTCGTGGAGATGTAGTATATCTATAGACTGCAAGGAGCATTTGTCTGCAGACCGAAGTCCACCACAATCCAACTTATAACTTTCACACACCGCACCCGATAAGCAGCCCCTCCAGCTTATGCTCCAAGAACACCTCTCCACCGGCAGAGACTTTCAGCTTTTGTTTCACCAACTCCTTCTCCCCTCCTTGGGCGTCAACAAGGCTTGCCTTGGCCTCGGTACGGCCGGTGGCAGCGTAGGATGGCGGTAGCCGCACCAGAGCCGAGAATGGGGCTGCGACATGTACCACCGGCGATACTTCAACCACGACAGCGGCGGATTGGGCGGACACCAGCGTGAAGAACGCCGCAAGGATCCCGCATAATCTCGCGACGGCTGTCATCGTGGGTCCTGGAAACAGCCAGTGTGTGTCCGTGTCTCGCACGTATGCATATGTATATCCAGCAATGGGGGCCCCGCTAACTGCTAAATATTGTGGGAGGAGACGGGCACCTGACATCGACGAACACCTTGTTGGACACGCTACCATCAACACTACGGAATAGATAGATGTGATATGGAGTACCTGGGGCCTGGGAACGAGGGTGTGACTCCCCAGGCCGCAGCAGGCATCCTGGTGGAGCGGCTGAAAAATGCAGGTGACATGGGCGACAGGAGAGATGCTCTGGGCGCGCTGCTCAAGCTTTCGCAGGACCATCCTACCGATGTTGGCCATGCCGGTATGCCAATCTTCACCGACATCCTGCAGGCCGGCATTGCAGACCGGTCCATGACGCAGACTATCATGGGCATCATGCTGAACCTGGTCAAGGAGCAAGGCGCCGACGTGTCGTCATTCCTGAAGGACGTTCAAAACGTCCAGAATTTGCTGGACTTGCTCGAGAGCACCGATGCCCTGACCGCCCTCTCAGCCGTTCAGGTGGGTATTGGTGCAACAGCATGGTCTGTGCGTGTATGCACACCGAACACCAAACACCAAACGCCCGGAAAAGTCGCCACGGATTGCAGTGATTGCAGTACAGGGGGCTCATGTTGCTTTGCCATTGTCGTTGAGATGGAGATCGGAAACCATGCCTCGATGGGTGGAGAGTTTTGGGTATTTGACGATTGTGCGGAGCAATTCTCGCAGTTTTTGTTCCACCTTTATGGGCAAATGCTTAGTCTAGACTAGGGGGGACTAAAGCACACATACCTCTTTTACCTTCCAAACCTGTCAACTATATACTACTTCATGCTTCCTGCCGTCGGCGGTACCACAGCAGTAGCGACAGATGGACTGATGGCCACAAGCGATGGTCCTTTGGTGTGGCCTTGTTGCACTCCTGACTCCTGACGAAACAAAGCGAGTCGAAGCAGTACGCCCAAGTAGGTTGTGATCTCTTCCGCCCGGCAGCAGCAGTGACCGTCTTCCGTATATTCAAAGTCCTGTTTAGTGTGTAGTGAGGCGCCAGGCAAGCAGCCCTGTGTGAAACGACATTCCCTCGCACACGTTTGGCGTTGATGAAATGTACATCGATTGATGCTGCGTGGTACACTTCAGGTGCTGCAAGCGCTACAAAAGTCTTCGCCGGAATCCTTGGAAGGTTGCATCTTGGAGTGCCCGGCCGGCCTTCAGGCTCTGGTGGAGGTTTTGAGAGATTCCAGGGAGGAGGTCCGAAACGAGGTCATCTTGCTCTTGGGGCAGGTCAGTGGCTACTGCTGTACTGCTGGAATTGCGACTTGGTTGAGACATCGGCCTGCTTTTCGACGATGGGGGTGCTGACCTCCGAACATAGACTCGACGCTTGCGTGTTCTCGTGCCCGCACCGATTGTTGCTAATCTCGTACCACTACTTGGAGCCTCGCTGTCGCGGCGTATGAAACCAAGTAGTCTGAGGTATGCTAGAAAGTCTACAGCCAGCCCTGCTTTATGTGATCAACTTTGGTCGTTTGTCCTGGTCGTCGTTGTTATAAATTAGCTGACCACAAGCAACTTGGAGGTGAAGAAGTTCGTGGCTTTTCAAGAGGGCTTCGAGCGGCTGTTCGACATTATGTCCGGCGAAGGCATGCTCGAAGGGGGAAGCGTTATCGTCAAGGACTGCCTTCACGTATGCAACAACCTCCTCTCCGGCTCTTCTCTGACCAAGGTGGCCCTTTGCCTTTGCCTTTGCCTTTGCAGGGCACGGTACACGGCCCGTGGGTGATGCACGGTATTGTTTTTGTGTGACGTGTCATGCTCGACCCAAGCAGAAGCGCTGTGGTAGCATCACTTTTCAGCCCACCCTGAGCGTCGCACTCTGGTAAGCCTGCAAGCTTATTCTGACGGTCTTCAACGCCAACTGTCACATGGTACTGTACTGGTGTCGTCGCGCCACTTCCCTCATGTACCTTTGTGCTGGCACTTGTACACTGCTGCGTCTCAGGCCCTGTTTTGTCAGAGCGGCTGCCTGAAGCGCTTCCACCAGCTTATCGATGTTCGAACGTCCGACGGGGAGGATGCAGCGGCGGTGGCTGCTCAAAACGGCCCGGAGATGGAGGTCGTAGGCGCTGAAAAGGGCGAGGAAGGAAGTGGAGAGGGACAGAAGGCTCCTTCGCATGTGAGTGGACGAGGTACAGGTATCCTGCAGCATCATCACCTGTACTGTACGTACCTTGATGCCATTCCCCGCGGCATTGGAAGCTTTTAGTGGGACAACTTTCTTAGCAAGTCGCCTGCCATCGGACACTTGCATGTCCCCCAACCGCTTCCCCGCAACAAGAATGAGGTTGTATAATACTTGTGCATACCTGCATCGGTTCTGACAATATTTTACGTTCCACCAGGACGGAGCGCCTCCAATGGGAGCCATGTCCGGTATGCAGAACGAGATCGCGTGCAAGGCGCTCGACGTGCTGATGCTGCTTCTAGCTCGCGACGGCGGAGGCGACGCCGACGAGAAGGAAGGCGGAGGCCGCGGGGGCGGGGGGGGCGGCAACGATGACGATGATGGGAAAAGGCCCGAAAGGCAGACCCTTGTGGCCGAAGTGTCAGAGGGGATGCTGAGCGAGATGATGGCGCACGTGGCGTTCTCGAGGGCAGACGCCTTTTCGCACGCGCCGGCCGCCTGCCGAGAGCGGGCGATGAGGGCGACCGGAGCTTTGGTGGATGGACACCCTACTAACCAGTACAACTTGGGAGAGGTGGGTCTGACCAGAGGGGTCAGGGTATCGGCGCGTGGAGCAGGGATGGATAAAGGGGCGAGGGGAGGTTTTGCCTACGGTGCATATCGACACCTTTCGAACACGATGTCAAAGCGGTGACGCATGGCGATCTTGTGTAAATTGTGGGTTTATGGCATGACCAACTCTGCTCCACGTGCTCTTGGTGGCGCAGCCTAACAATCGTTGTTGCTCCTTCCTGCTGTAAGAAACCCCCTCGAACCTTATGGAGGCGTGTTTCTTACCAGTGACTGATGTTTGTCGTTATCCTGCCGCCGCCGTTTTCCTCCCGCCACAGCTGTTGATTCAAGACGTCGGACTTGATTCCGTGGCTCTTGCGACGCTTGTCATGGAGGGGGCGTTGGGGAAAGGCGGAGCTGACCGAAGCAGAACTGAGGCGTGCCAATGGTACGCAGAGGGGTTGGTTGGTTTTAGTAATTATTACGTTCATTCCCTTGCGAGGAGCCTGGCCGTGGCGTCGTCGGTGCTTCCGCCTATCTATATAGATAGTAGAGGGCTAGTGCGACATGGTGTTGTTGTGAAGCGATGTCAACGAATTCGCCCATGAATAGTATGCCATGAGGTACCGCACCATCCTTTGTTGTGGTAATAGATTCGTCACGTATCGCGATGATGGCGTTTAGGATTTCTCCTTAGAAAGGAGGCGTACAGTACTCCCCTGCACACTGGCCACTGCTCGTCCGACATTTCCCCCGAGAGACTCCATCAAGGTTTGTGTGCTCCTCGACTTGAACCCTTCCATATCCGATATCCCAACATGCCTTCCCTGCTGCCTACCTAATGTTTTGCCAAACCGGAAGAATGACGAAAGCCTGCCTTGGCACCTCTCTATCGGTTTTTCCCTTGCCTTGGTCAGGGTTCTGGAGTGTCTGTTCCACGGGAATGAGCTCGTCTGCACCCAGGTGGTTTCTCACATCATCGCGCCTCCGCCGCCGCCCCTTGAGCTTGAGGTGCGCACGACCGAGCTTGAACTAACTTAATATCGTCGTTCTGTTTCGTTAATAGTCGACCGATCGGTGGTGGCCGTTGTTGGCCTGAATGTTATGTAGTTGGCCTTGCTCGAGTCCGAAAATCGGTCCGTTTTTTTTCCGGACAAACCCTACGGCCTGCTCTGTGTGTTATGAGGTTTCCGTGTGGGCGTGGCAGGGATGAAATTCCCTGCGTCACTTGCTGTCCTCGTTAGGCTTACCCCGCTTCCCTTCTGGTGCGTGGCTCGGTTGCCAGGATATCGAGGCTTGGGTCCCTCCAACTCCGCCTGGAAAAGTCCTTTTGGATAGCTTGGCAGCAGCTGCAAAGACTCTCTTCGAGGACGGTGGCGACAGCAACGATAGCGGCACTGGCGAAGGACGAAGAGTAGCCGCAACGCAAGCCGCTGACGTGATATCCAGAGGGTGAGCATTGTTCTTGACTAATCATGTAGAGAGCTGTACCATATCCGCTGTGGCGGTTGTTGCAGGTGAAGTCACGCTCTATCTCTGCATCGGTAGTCCCCCGCCTGCTTCATGCTGTTCAGCTTACCCGCACCTCTCTCTCTTTCCCCCCTCTTCTCTGCTGTTCGCGAAGCTGCATGATCATATCGATGTTGTTCACGCACGGAGGTGCTCTAGCCAAGGAGCTTTCTCTGCGGGTACCCTTGGCAGCACCAACGGTCGCCCATCCGACCACCCTCCTGCACGTCCTCCTGCACTGGCTGGAGCTTGCAACATCCCACCACCCCGCTTCGGCCGCAACAGACCGCGGAGCCCCCAGCTCTAGCAGAAGCGGCGACGGCCACTTTGGGAGGCCCGCTGTCGACGGGTACGCGGCTGCTGACGCCGGTATTTCTCTGGAGCGGCTCTTGTGCGGGTGGTTGTACGATTGCCCGGCGGCGGTGGTTGAGATGTTGGACAACCCGGCGAACCTGTTTGTCGTAGACGTGGCCGCGGGACGGTGTTCCGTGTTGGTCGAAGGCGGGGAAGGAGGCGCGACCGCGGTGCAGTGCGTCGCGCTGAAAGGGCTGGCGTGCTTGGCGCTGGGGCTGCTGCTGGAGTATGTGGAGGGCAGGGGGGCACCAAGGTCTGGCGGCGGCGGCGGCGGCGGCGGCGGCGGTAGTGGAGAGTGGACGAGGTCTCTGGTGATGAAGATGATCCAGAATAGGGTTGGTGAGTCGGGCGGTCGGGTGAACGCGGAGACTGTGGTTTGGGCAGTAGAACGGGAGGAGTTTGGACGGTAAATTGTTCGATTGGTCGCACCCTCCCCTCCCTGGTCCGAGGGTCATCTGTAGCTCGTTTGCTCCACAACCAAGAGGGTAAGGTAAAGGGGTGCGATCGAAAACCGGCCGCTAGGTCTGACGAAAGCAGTTTCTCTCTCTCTATCTCGATGTGATACGTAGATTTCTCCGAAAACACCCTCTCTTTTCTGTTTTGGCATAATAGTAGTGCCCTCTCGGTTGTGGATCAGGACTACGGTGTATGAAGCCTGTCTATGGGGGAATGGGAATGTGATAAGTCACTCGCACGATTACGGTAAGTTAGCCTGCTGGTAGTGTTCCGTTCGCGTTCTGAGCTTTTGACCAACGTGTATTGGGTTGTCTTCATTCACAGACAAGGTGATCCGAGCATGGTGCTAAGCAATGCTTGTCCTTCCCAGTGTATAAAGACTATTGCATATGTAAAATCAATGCAGGTTGTGTGCGAATCCATGAATAGCCGCATTTCTGACTTGCCTATTGCGCGGCACTTGTCTGTCGTGTGCGGCAGGCATGACACCATTCATGTCATCCATCGAGGCTACCAAGCGAGCTTTCGCCGAAGCAGAAACAATACAACGACGAAGAGATCGCGCCGCGCGGGAGAGGCAGGGTTCGGGCGAGGCTGGGCAAGAGGGTGCAGGCAACAACGGAGGTGAGGGTCGTCAAGGCATGTCCGCGAGTCCACCGCGGTGAGGTTGATGTTGACGTTGTTGTTGTTGTCGTTGTGAAGGCTTTCAGTAATTTCCTGTGCCCGGCGCGGGAGGGTTTGGTTGGTGAGGTGTTTTGTGGAGAACTCCACTGCTCGACGTTGGGATTCGGGGCACCTTCCAAGGCTAGCAACACGGTCCATGTTGCCTTACCTATTCCGGTACTTGAGTGACGACGTTTTACAACGTTTTATTGCATGAGCCTCGTCGGAGGATACTGCTGCCTGTTGGAAGAGGAGGTAATCAGTGATCAGGGGGGAAGGAAGTCATCTATTGTTATGTTACAAAGACCCTCTGGGCCAAAATGCTCCTGCTGCCCCCCCCTACCGCCCTGTCCCATGGCTTGTAGAACTCCGGCTCGTCCCTGGCTTCAGCTCTTTGCTGACGCGAGCTTCAGCAGAGGTGAGGCAACGTGTGATATCGATACTGACGCACGGTGACGCCAGCGATGGTGGCGGCGTCGCCGCTGACTCTGTAGCGACCAACGGGGGTACGGCCACAACACTGGCAATGGCTTCCCCCGGTAGCGCTGAAGGGGCAGGAGGAGGAGGAGCGGCGAGTCGTTCTTCCGCCGCGGCAGGTGGGGGAGGGGCGGGGTTGGCCTTCATGGTGGAGCTTCAAGAGAAGGAGATCGCTGGTCTGAAGGAAGAGCTGTCCGAGGCGTTGAGTAGGGTGCCCAGGGGAGGGGGGGAGGGCGGCGGGGTGTCGGCTTTGGAAGGAGCTCTCCGGAACCAGGTAGGTACAGGAACTGATTTTCGGTTCCAACTGTAGAAATGTTGCCCTTCTGCTGTGCGAAGACACGGATAGTTTCGGCCTTCTGCGTCCCACTGCTTGTGGCGTAGTTGTTGGACTGTTTATGACTCCAAGCACATTGGCTGTAGCGTGGTGCTCTTGCCCGATCGGCGTTTAGTTTTTTTCACCACGCAGTTTATCACGGGTCCCCGTTTGACCTTCGTACAGTCTGAGTGATTGCGTCATCTGTTTCCAAGTCCGAGACGCCCATGTCTGCAGGATGGTGTGCATGACATATGATTCAGATTACCTTGCCCTCGAATGTTGCAGGTTGAGCGGCTAGAAGCAGCGGCCGTGGAGCAGTCGAAGGGCTTCAAGAGGCTTCAAACAGAGCTACGGGACGCTTGGGCTCAAGTGGAGGCAGAGAAAGAAAGGTAAGAGTCGCGATTGTGAGGGATGTAGACAGCAAAATATCCGTATGCACCTAGATCCGTCGGTGCAGTGCTTTAAAACGGTCGTTTGCCCTGTTTGCGTCGATGATATCTGTATGTGTGGATATCTGTCCGCAGTTTTGTTTCTTGTCTTCCTCTTCATCTCGAAAATGTCATCATCACTCGCCAAGATCTACTATCTTGTCCACTATCTTGCGCACGGCCGTGGAAGTGTTGTCACGAAGATTGGGCCTCCTCGCTTCTTTTTTGAACCGCGCTCTTGTGTAAACCCTGTTGCCGCGAACAAAAACACAACGACAGCCGGCAGCTTCTGACGTCAGAGCTGCAAGGTCTTGCGGTGTCTACGAGCTCTCTGGAGCGCCAGCTGCTGGACCGCGAGTCGGTGTGCGATGGGTTGAGGAGGCAGCTCGATGCTGGCGAGGATTCCTCCGCACGGGAAGGCGAGCTCGTCAGACAGGTAGGCATCTCTTGTACGAATCATGTCACTGACACACTCCAGACAGACGGTGTGGTACGTAGTACCTCGAGTGTATTGCGGTTTATCACGGTACAGGACGTCATCTCTGTCGGACCGCGGTCGTCAGTGAGGGATCCTCGATCCTATCCGTCGTTGTCTTCAGTTGGTTTCTTCGGACCGGTCGTGACTCGTGACTTCGGTTGGCGTCAAGCCCCGCGTTGCCGCGATTGTATCGAGGAATGATGACGACCTCTGCTCTTTTGCGCCGTGCTCCAATGTTTGAGGTGATTACTCTTGTTGGTTGGGGGTTCATACTGTCCTTCCTGGATCTGTTGCAGTGTGTCTGTTTTTTCTGAAGGTGACGCCGCAAGTCTCGGTGACCTAGCCTCCGTAGTCGACATAAACGCGATAACTAGTACTGTAATAGCACGACAAGAGGTCGATCGAGGCTCTTGCTCTTGTAGACCTAGAGGGCACCCAGGTACGAACGAGGTCGACGTAATGTAAGGTGTTAGTATAGTCTCCCTGCCCTAGCACTGTATTGTACGTGTATCCGCACAGTACAGTACCGTAAGGACAAGGGCTAACGTGTGTGACGGCATGCCTTCGCACGGCCGCCCGTTTCTGCATTTTACGTACCAGCTGGAGGAAGCCCACTCACGGGCCTTGAAGGCCGAGGAAGCGTTGGAGCTTTCCCAGAAACAGTATTTGGTGAGAGAGTGAGACATCGGGGCGTTGTTTTGTGTCTATTGGTCTCTTCCGGTGCTGCCTGCAGCAGTTTTCATGTTGCAATAGGCGAGGGTTCAGGTTAGGGTTAGGGTTAGGCGAGGGCGTGCGCATTTCCTTTGAATGGTCGACGTCGCACGCGCGCGCTGCTGTCGTGTTCGCTGTTGGGTGCAGGTCCACTTGAGCTGTATGTACTCCAACTTTAGAAGTCTTGGCTAACGTGCTGTTTTTCTCCATCTAGAGAAAACAGTGACAGAGTTGCAAACCCTTTCCTGTACCACTGGTGTATTAGAGTTGCGCGCGACAGTTGAACGGCTTTTCGCAGGAACCAACATGGATGATGATGATGATGATGATGATGATGATGCTGTATTGATTCGCTGTTTGTCCACAGGCAACGGCTCGAAGGTGAAAGCTTGCTGGTTTGCAAAGCGCGCTTTATTTCTTTTTTTCTTTTTTTCTTTTTTTCGTGTTTCCTCGCCTCTCCTCTCCTCTCCTCTCCTCTTTTTTTTTTTTTGTCTTCACTTCAAATCAGCGCTCACGGCACTAGTGCCGTTTACTCCAACCCGTGGTCACACAGAAGAGCCCCTCTCTACCCTCCCCTCCTGCGGTACTTTGCCTTCGATTTTTCATGCGAGAAGAGTTCAGCACTCTCTTCCCTCTGTGTACACACGAACTAGCGCTATCCACTAGGCCTCGAAACCACCACCACGTCTCTGTGCTGTGTTCCCGCAGCCGTCCTTGATGCACCAGAAACATGCTGAACTGTTGGAAGGCACAAAGCACAGTCAATGGGTTGGAGAGCCATGACCGCCCCAAACCTGTATTTTCCCTCTTCGAACTGCGTCATGACTTGGATGTGCATGGCGGACTTGGTTGATTTCAAACGTTTTATTTTGTGTCGGAAATTAATGGTGTCAATGGCGCCTGCGTGCTCGATTTTGGTTATGCGACGTTAAGGTCAACTTTGTTTTCCGGCTTAGTGTGTTGTGTTTGCTGCTTGCCACTTCGTGTTTGGCCCTTGCCCTCCCGTTATAGGCAAACGCTACAGCAGACGAAGCCGCGCAAGAAGCTAGCTTGGAAGCCGCGGCGAAGTGGGAGGCTAAGGTCGAGCAGCTGCAGGTGACAGGTTTTTTTAACAGCAGCAGTGCACGCGAGCGTGCCGCAGGTGGTTGGAAATGACGAAAATTGCGTCAGCCGCACTCAATCTACTCACTCCTCTTTAGTTTTTAGCCTCGTACCACCGGAGCGGGCTTTCTACTCTTAAGTATATACTTCCTCTGTATCATAAGTTAGGGTACCTAAATGCAATAGATTGTCTGGGTGCAACCGTGTTAGTGATGCTAGCATAGTCGGGTTTGTAAGAAAGATATAACAAAGAAGAAGCGATGGAAAAAAAATAAAAAAAAACGAACATCTATTTCTGTACCTACTATTGGTCAAAATGTACCCTATTTTGGCCTGTTTTGGGAATATTTTTGAGAAAATATTTTGGGATATTTTTTGAGAATTCTCGACAAAATTCTCAAATCCATTTTACTACCCTACTCTAGCGATGGAATCGCCCCCCAGCACACCACCTCGCAAGTTGGGCACCGAATTATCGGTTGGTAGGCGCTATGCCATGGCGGTAGAAATTGCGATGGGCATTCAGCTGGGGTTGTCAAAGGATTCCCAAGAGCGTGCTTGACCCGATCTGCGAACGCTACGGTGTTGGAAAGAAGTACCCGTCCAAGTTGTGGAAACGGGTCAAAACCCAGATCGACAACACCCAGGAGCTGGACCTTTCAAACGAAGCAAAGTGGGCGGCCGTCGCTTCTCACCCCTTCAAAGATTGCGGCGGCATCGAGTCCAAGTGATGATGAGGAAGAATAGTCGACTTTTTCTTTTTTTTCCCCGCCACCAACCAACCCTTCTTTTTGTCCCGCAAGTGTCTTGATTTTAGTGTGACCCCCCAAGTGTCTTGGTTTTAGTGTGTGACCCCCAAGTGTCTTGGTTTTAGTGTGGTTCACTACTATACTGATTTTAGTATAGGGGGCGCGACATGGATCGTTGAGTAGAGGGGGGGGTTGGATGAGGGCCCTACTGTTGCTTGCTTTGCCCCGTAAGTGTCTTGGTTTTAGTGTGGTCCCCCCAAGTGTCTTGTTTTCAGTGTGGGGGCCACTATTATGCTGTTTTTAGTATGGGGGACGCGTCATGGATCGTTGAGTAGAGGGGGGGCTAGGTTTAGGGTCAGGGATAATTCTTGGTATTTTTGCCTTGTTTTTGTCATTGCCCCGCCCCCCCCGCCTGGTCGGAGGGGGCAGAATACATGCAAAATGCGGCCTTTTTCAGGCCGACTGGTTTTTCTCGGGCGCTCATGCACGCGGGGTGGCGCATGCATATAAAATAAAATAAATGTTTCTTGCTCAAAAAACTCCGAAGATTTCAACAAAAAAATCGAAAAACAGATCGGACACGGTTAAGGGCCCGTACAAATTTAGGTACCCTAACTTATGATACAGAGGAAGTAT